TAGTTTGTTGGTCTACTAACTATTTGCCAGGACCCCAGTTCTAATGATTTTATGTACATTAGCAATAAGTCATATTGTGGGTTCATTTGATCCTGACACATAACCAGAGCACTGTCATCCGCATCAATCAGGATTTCACTGACACTGATGGAAATGTCGTTTACATAACAGAAATAGATAAGGGATCCTCGAGTAATACAACCTTGGTGGCAACTCCACATGCGTATCGGCAGGGGTTCTACATGAATCCCGTTTTGTTGATTTTTGAACGACTTTGTTTTCCTATTGACTATCGATCAGTACTTTTCAAACCAGTTCCTATGGAACCTATGCCGGCTATAAGTTCTTGAAGTTTCTACACATAATATATTGTGGTCTTACAGTATCGACTTTTGGCAAGTCTAATGTTACCATTCCTCATGAGCTCCCTATCAACATTTCAGTTCTCATGTAATCCATTCCAGAAGACCAAATAAATTTCCCACATAAATAATAATAATTAGACTTACTACAAGTTCATGTACATGTATACAAGCCAGCTGACATCAATAACTTACTACTATCAAACACGAATATTAGGCAAATTAGGTCAGTTTTGCTCCCAGGATGCGACCCACACCAGTCGACAAACACCCAGGTACCCCCCAAATTGTTTTTTTTTTTTTTTACTGATGGGTGAACATGAGACAACCGGTGTACGGAAAACATGTCCAATGTTTTTCCCACCACTTCCCGGGAATCGAACTAGGGCCACGGGTCATAATAAAATTATATATTTCAACGTTCAACCTACCAACACCTAGGATCATCACAAAACCCTTATAAATTTATCTAGACCATAGTATACATACGAACAATTATCATACATAGTGTAAATTACATAGGATAGCCGAAATGCTGCGCATAACAAGGGCTTTCTGTATAGTAAGTTTAATCAGGTATAACACAAATACAGTTTACATAGAATTATCATACATAGCAGCATATGTGTAGAGAACCCTGGATTAACCCCAAAAACAGCTCAGACAGTGACTTTAATTCCATGGGTCCCGTTAGTTATAACCGTTATTATTATAAATAAAAAGGTTATAAATTTTCTTATTATTCTATAATGAAGAATAACATCTAATTATACAACTAAAAAGACTATCTAACTACCCGAGGGTGCATTAAGACTATATCTACAATACGAGTGTATACTACATGAACTTAACGGTAAATTTACACGTATTTCTTACGCTAAAAAATATAAAATCATTGCCCCTCCCTTTCTGTTTACCTGGAGATTAAAGCCTGGAGGAGAGTATCCGGGTCAACGGACCCCCTGCGGCCCGTCTGTGACCAGCGTCCTTGTGATCAGAGCCTGATCAACCAGAGGCTGTTTCTGCTAGGCTGCAAAGCAATCCCGCGACAACGTACAGCTCACAGCCCGGCTGATCAGGAACTGACCTAGTAGCTACATTCATCAGAACACCTTTGGCACACTTCTTGAACTGGTTTCATACTAGACTGGCTTTGACTGTGCGGTAGTCCTGTTCCATTCCCTTTATTGCTTAAATAAAAGTGTTCCTGAAGCCTGGCCCAATGACTGTGGGTACTACAACAAAGTATTTGCTCTCCCCCTGTACTATGATTGCTTTGGTTGCCCATCCTTGACAAAATTGACAGCAAGATATTCTGGACACTGAGCAATTTTATAAACATGATTTAGCTTCAGTTGTTTTACTCTGTCTTCAACATTCAGCATATCCAACTGCTGTAATTCATCTTGGCCTACATGTTCTCTTGGTCCCCAGCCCCAGGATGAATCTTTACGATTTTATTCTGGGTGATTTGCAGTCTATCTTTCAGTTTTTTGTCAAGGCAGAGTACCATGAAGAGCAAGCGTAATCCATATGGCATTGTATAAGGGCTAGACATAGGATCCTGCGACCCTCAGTAGATAGACACTGCTTGTCTATACAGGAACTTCAGTCTGCATTTTCGCTTTCTTTACTACACTGTTTCCCTTTTAATAACATCTCCTGACATGCATGGGTCAAGGGATTCCCAGATATTTTACTGATGAAACCAAAGTGATGGGCTCCCCATTACACTGGACATTGGAAATAAATGGTATAAAATACCGACACAATGGCAATATAAACACAAATGCAGTATAATGTGATCCTTTATTGACTACGATTCCGCCCACACAGTGGGCTTTTTTCAAGTCACCAAACCAGACTTACCTGGTGGTGGAAGGAACGCGAGTAATTTTAAGTCCCGCTGAGGTCAGGTGAAGAATGCTGCATCTGAATGATGAACCCGAGTTGGGTTTTGTAATCTAAAAACTTGGGTAGCTTGGAAAGGAGACTGGACAAGTTTTCGTGAGCAGACCTTCCGACAGTGTTCCTTATGTGGTAGCGATGAAGAAGTTTCTGCAAGTGGTTCAGCTATGTTATAAGAAGCCACTATTCGGTTGAAGTTGTCGGATATAGAAATAACTTGATGTTTCCAGGATTCTTCGTATTGAGTGTTGTCCTTCTGTGGCGATAAGTATTGAGTTTCTGTAGTTTTATCAAGTGGTTGTTTGAATTACGGTGTTGTAACGCAGGCATTTCCTTGTGGGTCGTCAGACCTGCTTGCGTATTGGTGTTCTGAATTACGTGTGGTTTGGAGGTCCCTTGACGTTTCGCCACACCTATACCCCTGCAGAGGTGGAGGCTTGTCCTCCTACTACTGTGATTCCTTGATGGTCGGGTTGTGGAGGTAAATACTTTGGAATGATCGTTTTGGCAACAACGATGTCTAGAGAACATGTTTGGCAAGGAGTTGGTGGAAAGGACCTCTCTGTATCTCTTCTCGGCAGTGTCTTCTCTGGGTGTGTTGAAGATGTTTTGTGCTCGCCTCTGCGAGTCTCTGATTAAGTGACGAGATAGTGGAGTTTGGAAAAATACTCTGTTTCAATTATAGTGCATTCTTTTCTTCTCAAGGAACTCGTTGCTTGAATTCTGAGTGCACGCGGAAGAAGCCTATAAATACACCAACGTTGGTTTTGTGTCGTGTGAGATTAGAAGTGGGAGAAGATCGTTTTTTGGTTGGTGGGTTTTCGATAGACTTTAACGAAGTTTTCGTGGTCATCTTTGCAGAGTAGAACAACAAGGAAAGGAAGAAGTGTGTCGACCTCTTCTTCAAGTTGAAACTGGATTGAAGGCTCGACCTGGTTGAGCTTGTCTAGTGAGAGCTTGAAACGTTTGAAGGCGTTTAGGAGTTACGAGGAAGTAATTGGTCGTCAACAGATACGGAGCCAGGTGACAGACAAGGACATAAAGGCATGGAGAAACGTTCGGCCCTTTCTAGATGTTTCCATGTATAGGTTCGCTTGACGCACTGAGTGGCGAGAGCTCACAGGGGTCTCCAAAGTCTGCTGATAAGAGGTGAATTCCCCAACAGACGAAACACGTAAAGCCAACACATAGTTCAACACAGTCGATGAAGTCCGCTGCTGGAATGGGAAGTCAAGTGAATCGTCAATTTTCTTTGGCAAGAGATCGATGGCTGTTTAGTCGGTAACTTTTAGTGAATAGGGACGTCACGTCAAGGCTGGAAAGTTTCCTGTTCTTGAGGAAGAATGCATTAATCTATAATTGAACAGTATTTCCAAACTCCACTAATCCTCGTCACTTCATCAAGACTGCAAACGGCGAGACTAAACATCTTCAATCACATCCCAAGAAGTGACACTGCCGAAAGAATACATAGTCCTTCCACCAACTCCATTCCAAACATGTTTCCCATACATCTTTGCCAAAACATCATTTCAAGAGTATCTACCCCCATGACAACCACGACGCATCCAAAGGACATCACCAGTAGGAGGAGCAGGAACGAAGTCACTCATCCTCTGCAGGGGTATACTAATCCCTTCGTAATGACTGCAACAAGTTATACTGGCGGCGAAACAAATTCAAGGGACCCACACCAAACGACGTATTTCAGAACACCCAAGCCGCACACACAGGTCTACGCACATTCAAGAATGCCTGCGTACAACATCCCTAATTCACACAACCACTTGATAATACTACAGAAACTCAGAACTTATCGCCATCAGAAGACAACACTCAATAACCGATGAAATCCTGGAATCATCACTTATTTCTATATCCGACTACTTCAATTTCAACCAGAATAGTGGCTTCATAACATAGCTGAAACACTTGCCAAGAAACTTCATTCATCGCTATCCCACATAAGAACAACTGTAAGAAGGTCCTGCTCACAAACTTGTCCAGTCCTTTTTCCAAGCTACCGCAAGTTTTTTAGACTCTGCAACCAACCGGTACCATCAGATGGCAGCATTCTTCACCTGACTCAGCCGGACTATAAATACTACGCGTTCCTTCCACCCCAGGTAGTTCTGTTTGTGACTTGGAAAAAGCCCCTGTGGGGCGAACGTAGTCACATAAAGGTATCACATTATACTGCATTTGTGTTTACAATGGACACTGGACATTGAAAATTCTGTAAGGTCAGTATAGTTCTGAGCAGTATTAGTAATAATTAATATATAATATTAATAATAATAATAATAATAATAATAATATCTTTATTTACTACAAGTACATGTGCAAGGTATACAGTCCTAGCTGACAACAATGACATACACAATATAGAAAGTCCCTTGTTAGTCACACGCAATTTTCGGCAATTGGTCAAGTGGTCCCAGGATGCGACCCACACATAGAAGTCACTTAAGTCTGTATATTCTGTTACATGTATTTGTAGAAATAAAGATTATTATTATCGCGCGCGATAATCAAAGCGACACTTATTTCCATCTGGGGTCCTTGGTAACAAGCATCCCAGCAGTGGCGATTCGAACCCGCGGCCCTCTGGATTAGAAGTCCAGACGCGCTATCCACTGCGCATGGGGACAACATTAGTCAGTGCCCCACTCTATCAAGCGCAACATCATTAGGACACGCACAACCTTCGAACCCAACAACGCGTTGGTACCGTCACAACCCTTCAACCTAACAATTTCCATCACAACAACAGCGTTCTGAGGTTTTTCCAAGAACTTTACAAGAGGAACTTTCACTACTGAGCCATGGGTTGTGATGGAGGTACAATTCCCAGGAGAGACGAGCTGGTGAAGACCAAGAAGAAACCCGAACAGGTAACTCCATGGAAGTAACTTTTTTTTCAGTGTGACTTTGTAAATGGTCCAAGTCGGACCGAAACGTCGTCGTAAGCTCCACTCTTCTATGTGCAAGTTATTTGTGATCGTTTTCCAGTCCCACGGTTATTGTGTCTTTTTTTATTTATAACTTTTTTTTTTTTTATTGGCGGGGGGGTTATTCTAGGTAATTTACACATGTTACTATTCAACATAATTTGTGTAGCTATTTATGTATATATTTACCTAAATAAACATAACTTGTATCTTAAAATGTCCAACCTGTCAGAGACACCCCCATACAAACTTTACAGAATATGGCTAAAAACTTCACTGTTATTGATATTCTGAATCTTGGGCTTTTTCCATTTTTTTAGCGACAGATGAAAAAACTTTTTTTGAAATTACAACCCAGAATCGAGGCCTGTCATGGGCGGGGTTCCCCCGTTTTCTGGGTTCAACAAATGATACAAAAAGGGAGGAAGTGATCTCTCAAATTTTCTCAGGTAATCACTGTCGGGCATTTGATATTTTCCTGTCCCAAAAATAAACCACTTAACCAAATTTTTAAATTTCTTTTTGGATAACTCATGCCGTATTTAACAAGTCACCTACCGTGCCACCGGGATAACTTGCTGACTTTCGTTGCTTTGAAAAGTCATAACTTCACGAATCATACGCAAATAAATCCCAAAAAGAAAAGGTTAAACCAGCAATTATATCTGTGGGACTGGTACACTCAAAATTTTCATGTACTCTTATGACGGTAAACATGTTTTTATTTCAACAATGGGCATACAACTTTTAAAACTGTTTAAACCCAACACCAGACCAGAAATGGTTTAACAAACCACGTTTTATTACATGTATGATTTTTTTGATCTTATGGTAAATTAAAAAATATTTGAGTGAATTTTTGATAAAATTCAGAATATTCATGAGGGTCATAAAGATTTAAAAATTTTTTTCGTCTCTACAAAAAAGACAAAACGGGGAACGTCTTTACGGGTGGCACTTTGTGCAATATCCAAACTCCTTGAGACACCGTTTTTTGCCGCGAGATGGGCCGTATTATAAAAAAGAAGAAATCCCACTGGGCATTAGACAAATCATCGAGCCAGGCTGCCAAAATAAGAGATTAAAGGATAAAAAGGATTGAATTTACACTTAAACCTGGGTACAACAAGTGGGGGCCAACAAAGGGAAAGCATACACTATCACAAACAGCAAAATAATTTGCCCATTAAATCCTTGGGGAAGAATGGCAAATTTCACTTTTCTTTTTTGTGGGCCTGCGTGGGTTCCAACCGGCCCCTTGAAGGAAGTCAACTGATTGTGCCAAAATGTGGACAATCTAGATGAAAATGTAATTCCACTTAATCCTCCTGAAGGGGCAGGGGAAGTCGGGGGACCATGGGCTCACGCCCTGCAATGGCTAAGATGGCGAAGAAAGCTAAAAAGATTGAAAAAAGGGCAGCAGAGGAGGATAACGAGACTTCAGCGACTAGCAGCAGCAGCAAAGGAAAAAAAGCTGCTAAATTGTTGGAGGGTAAGCATTTAGTCTTTCTTGGCAGTGTTTTGATCTAAGGAGTCTTTCTGAAAGTCAAAAGAAAGGTAACTGAGTACAATATGTTTCAGAATTTCATTAACCTGTATATTTGAAGAGTTTTTGTTTTTAACAAGTCAGCCATCTCCTACCAAGGCAGGGTGACCCAAAAAGAAAGAAAATCCCAAAAAAGAAAATACTTATATCATTATTCAACACTTTCACCTCACTCACACAATCAGTTTTTTGCAGAGGTGCTCAGAATACAACAGTTTAGAAGCATATACGTATAAAGATACACAACATATCCCTCCAAAACTGCCAATATCCCAAACCCCTCCTTTAGAGTGCAGACATTGTACTTCCCATTCCCAGGACTCAAGTCCGGCTATATAAAAATAACCAGTTTCCCTGAATCCCTTCACTAAATATTACCCTGCTCACACTCCAACAGCTCATCAGGTCCCAAATATATTATTCAATAAGAGCTTTCTTCTATTGTAATTTATTTCATTTTTAGAATGTGGCTACTTCACTTGCATTTTGCTTTGTGTCTTATTTTCATTCCAGCAACTTCATTTTCCTACAGTATTTTTATAAATGTAAATAAACACTTTCACCAGGAGACCTTTTATTATATGAGGTTTTATGCATTTTTACAATATAAACTCTGGGCTATTATCTTTGTTTTTAAGAAAGTTTGTCTTCTGACACTGATGAACACTTCAAATAGGAAAGCATTTAATTGTGTATGTTAGTGAATATATCTTATTAGTTTCACTGATCAAAAGCATGGGTTTTAATAATGGTATGAAAATATTTTTTTACAAAATTAACACAATACAATAATGTTGGCCAGATGCACTGCTAATCTATTTTATTAAGACTTAATAGGTAGCCCATGTAATACTGTTAACTGTAGGTGCTGAAGTTGCAAATAAAAATGTTGAGCTTCTTATTTGTCAAGTTATTATATTTTGTAGCTTTGTTGTGTGTTGTATTGTAAATATGAATAATGTAAAGTACAGTAGGGCCCCATTTATATGGCAGGTGAGATTCCAGACTACTGCTGGAAAGCAGAATGCCATTTTTTTCCACTTATAAATGCCAGTTAACAAGTTTACACTAACATATACATATTAAGTTAGCAATAGAACTTGTCTTTAAAAAACAAGTAAAATACACACACAGTACCCTCATTATTTACCTCAAAATATTTGTAGTCTTAAGGTAGGGTAAGAAGTCAGGTGAGGTAGCCCACCCCACCCCATCCACACAATGTACTATGATGCTTAAAGTGATCTAGAGTGATAAAATACATATACAGTACACTCATTACTTACCTTAAAATATTTGTAGTCTTAATGGTCTTAATGTAGGGTGAGAGGTGAAAAGTATTTATTTGTAGAAAGTCATGTGTGGGAGGTAGGGTAGGGAAGCCCACTTCGCCACCCCACCCACGATGTAAACAAATGGACAAAGCATTCATACACATTCATACAAACACCTTACATTGTATACAAATTGTCTCCACAGTGGTACAGTAGAATAAATAAAGAACAACACTTCCATTCTCGTGTAATTTTTAGAAGGAATGATGCTCTGACAAATTATTATAAGTTATTGTTATTATAATAATAATAAAGAAGTGCTAAACCCACAAGGGTTGTGAATAGCTATAGAGTGAAGGCATACAAAAGGAATAAATTTCTAATTAAGATACCCGTGTTTGACTAGAGAAAATGTAATTCTTCCGACCCTCCCACCAACCGCTTGAGAAACAAATCTCATATTTATGTCAACTTTTATACTGAGTGTATGTATCATGTTTATATGTTATGAAGCATATTTTTTCAAAATTATATAATGAACATCATAGATGGATTAATAGAAATGTCTATATTACCAAAATATATGACATTTAATGTGCCCAAGAGATTACATGTACTGTATCATTAATATGGCATCAAGAGTAGACACACTCTTAATGATTTTAATGTGTACCTGAATGCCAGCACAGTGTGTATGTATATTTAGGTACAGGTACACATAAATATAATTATCAGAGTACATATTTTATATGCAATAACTTTAAAACCCTTGAAATTTTCCAGACATATCTATTATGTGCTCACAGAGAAAGTAAACAAACTGGGTGGGGTGCGCCATATTTGAAAGACCGCTCGCTGTATAGCAAATTTTGGTCATAATTTGAAATTGCTGTATTAGTGGAATGCCGTAAACTGGGGCCCTTCTGTACAGTACTTTCAATGTATTAATTTAATTTTAGGGGCCAGCTCAAGCAGTGACAGCAACAAATCATCGCTCCGTGTGCAGGGCATGGCTTCAGCAGTTCTGAGGGATAAGGACTTTGAGAAGATTCGATCTGCAAGTTTTAGTGTTGCCTCAGACCCAAAAGCTTCAGAGGTTTACAAGAGTCTGTTTGATACCCACAAGACAGCTCAGAAGAAGCCAAGTGCCCATTGGGTCACCTGTAACCCACAATATTTTTAGGCATTTTAAAAATGACCTTGGGTTGAAATATCATACTGCTGTGGATATTTTATGTCAAGGCAAGAGAGACTGATATGCTTAGGTACTGTATAGTACTTTGGTAAAATTTATTGAAGAAAGACTTATGATGTAGCCTGAGAGTGGTGAGGAAATAATATTTTCAAAGTGCACAAGTATTAATGGATGAATGGAAATTTGCCCTTTATTAGATTTAGTCTGCTCCATTTTATTACAGCTGGTGAGAGTGAGGATGTGAGAGGTTAAAAGATGGGTTGGTTATATGGTTTTGTATCTGAATGTTCACATATTGTGTGTGCAAAAGTATAATGCTGTATTGTATAAATAAGACACATGTATTTCAACTTGGTTATATTTACTGTAAGCATATACAGGTCTCCCTCAACATTCGCGAGGGTTAGGGGATCAAGAGCCTCACGAATGTTGAAAAACCATGAATGTTTGGTGCCCCAATATATTGTAGGGAAATATATTACAATACTGCTTCCTTAACTTGTTGAACCATGAATAATTATAAAATACATGAAAACGTCGTAAATTGTACTAAATATATACGTGTTATGCTTTAATAATGTATGTTATTTAATAACATGTATGTTAATAACATGTATGTTCTTAAATACCACAGACTCCACCACTGCCTCCACCAATGCCTCCACCACTGCGAGTCCCTACTACTCTCCCTCCGACCCCCACAACTGGCAGCCAGCCCTCCCACCACTCAGTGTGGTGAGTGTTTTGTTTGTTCATTATTTGCTATTAAACTACAGAATAAATAATGTAAACCCATTCATGACTGCATATTGGAATGGCTATTAGGAAAGGTATTAGGCGGTGACATGTGTTTACTCTTGAACACAGCAAACAATCGAACATTTCTGCTATTGCTAATAACAACAATAGTAATAATAATAATAATAATAATAATAATAATAAATACGATATAATTGAAGAAGGAAATTGTACAGAAATACGAGGGAGTGGTTGACACATCGTCAGTGTGACTTTGTTTATGCTGGAGTGAATATTAGTCTCCCTGCTCTTCCAAACATTTCACAATAATTCAGCGGTTGAGGCAGTGGTATTTAATAACATATGTTATAAATAATAATAGTACATGTTATTATTAATAACATGTATTATTATTAACATGTATGTATTTAATAACATATATGTTATAAATAATAATAATACATATTATTAACAACATGTATTATTATTAACATGTATGTTATTAAATACCATTGCCTCAATCACTGCCTCTACCACTCCAGTCACACTCAATCTACAAGCACCAAACACAATGAATTATTGTGAAATGTTTGGAAGAGCAGGGAGACTAATGTTCACTCCAGCATAAACAAAGTCACACTGACGATGTGTCAACTACTCCCTCGTATTTTTGTACAATTTCCTTCTTCAATGTCATATTTATTATTATTATTATTATTATTATTATTATTACTATTGTTATTATTAGCTGTAGCAGAAATGTTTAATTCTTTGCAGTGTTCAAGAGTAAACACATGATGTCACCGTCTAATACCTTTCCTAATAGCCATTCCAATATGCAGTCATGAATGGGTTTACATTATTTATACTGTAGTTTAATAGCAAATAATGAACAAACAAAACACTCACCACACTGAGTGGTGGGAGGGCTGGCTGCCAGTTGTGGGGGTCAGAGGGAGGGTAGTAGGGACTCGCAGGTGGCGGGAAACTTAAATATGATTTGGCGGTTGGGAATTCGCGAATATGTGAAGCCCGTGAAAGTTGAAAACGTGAATGTTGAGGGAGACCTGTATGCATATTATTTCTTAGATTATTATCTATCACATACAGTACTATATTGTATTTCATTGTCTAATAAAACAATCTTAAATTTAAGTTTTAAATTATTTAACCAGTGATGATCAACTTCTCATTAAAGATTACATAACCGTGTTTAATAAAATAACATACCACTGAGGGACTTCAATGTTCAATTCCTAACGAGTTTTATCACTAATGCCAAGACATCATTTAAATTGAAATGGCATACTACCAACACTAATAATGAAAATCAACATTGCAGAACCTTTTAGTAGTATGATGTCTTGCTGTACATAGAGCTTTATCAGGATTTGACGAAAATTTACACAGTAAAAACCCCCTCAAGGAAGGTTCCTTGATGCTGGTGAGGGGCTTTTGATCTAGGGAATTGGATCTGTGCTCCAGTTCCCTAAATAAAGCCTGAATACCTTCCACATACCCCCACAGGTGCTGTATAATCCTACAGATTTAGCGCTTCCCCTTGATTATAATAATAATTCTAATCTGACACCAATAAGCATCATTAATTGTGACCCCCCCCCCCTCATCCTTTCAGCCGTTCTCTCAGCACCACCTCTTTCATTTCTACTATGTGCATAGTAATACGAAGTACAGCAATATACAGTACAGTAATAGTAATACAGTGGACCCCCGGTTAACGATTTTAATCCGTGCAAGAGGGCTCATCGTTATGCGAAATAATCGTTATGCGAATGAATTTTCCCCATAAGAAATAATGGAAATCAAATTAATCCGTGCAAGACGCCCAAAAGTATGAAAAAAAATTTTTTTTACCACATGAAATGTTAATTTTAATACACACAAACTGAAAAAGGCATGCACAATTAAATGACACTTACTTTTATTGAAGATCTGGTGATGATTGATGGGATGGGAGGAGGGGAGAGCATTATCTTCTTACTGTTTAGAAGGGGAATCCCTTCCATTACGACTTGAGGTAGCAAGTCCTTTTCCGGGTTACTTCCCTTCTTCTTTAATGCCACTAGGACCAGCTTGAGAGTCACTGGACCTCTGTCGCACAACAAATCTGTCCATAGAGCTCTGTACCTCCCGTTCCTTTACGATTTGTCTAAAATTTGGGGCCACAACATTGTCATTGAAATAGTCACCAGCACGGCTTGCAACAGCTGTGTCAGGGTGATTTTCATCTATAAAGGTTTGCAGTTCAACCCACTGTGCACACATTTCCTTAATCTTTGAAGTAGGCACAATGGATTCCACAACTGGCATAGGCTTCTCAGGTTAGCCCCAAACCCTTCAAAATCTTTCTTAATTTCCATACTAATTCTCACCCTTTTTACCACAGGTTGGCACTAGAAGCTTTCTTGGGCCCATGGTCACTTATTTTCCAGAAACAGCACCGAAAATACTGTAATAATACGAAATATTCCGAGTGTATGCTTGGATGTTACCGCGGAGGCTGGCTGTAAACAATGGGACGGGGCGGCACATGTGAGGCTGGCTGAGGGCACATTGGACGCGTCTCGACGAAAAATCGGTAAGCGGGTTTTTAATCGGTATGCGCGGCAAAAATTTTGCGATAAAAGTAATCGTTATGCGGAAAAATCGCTATGTGATGCCATCGTTATGCGGGGGTCCACTGTACAAAGTACAGTGGAACTCTGGATTTTGTACTTACTGCGCTCCAGAAGGTCGGTCTAAATCCGAAATGTACAAAAACCTTAGTAATATTTCCCATAACAAATAATGTAAATACAATTAATCCGTTCCAGACACCCAAACATTAACAAAAAATACATTTTTAAAGAATAACTATAGTTTTACATACAGAAAACAACGATAAATAAATATAAAGCACTAATGAAATGGATAAATGAACATTTAAGCCTGCCTGTAATGCTATGCATTCAAGTGGCTTTGGCATGTTGCATTTAACTGTATTCTTTTGTACTTCACTGTATCATGTTCAAATTAATAAATAAATAATTAATTTAAATCACTATTACATACCTTTATTGAAAGACACTTGTTGGCGTATGGAAGGCGGCGAGGAGGGGAGAGGGAGGAGAGGTTATCTCTACCAGCATCATAACCACTACCATCACTGCCACCCTCTGCCACCATCACAACCACTACCAGGCATTTTCTTTACGAGATCCTCATGCAACTGCCTTGCCTTTTCGCAAATGATCAACTCTACAACACTATCTCCCACTTTGGACTGGATTTATAAGGGGAGCAACCACTCTGGGCCTCCCCTGCCAGAGGGGCCCCCAGACAAAGGATTTCCTTTATAACAAAATGTAATAAAAAATAGTTTAATTAATAAAAAGAATTAACAGATAAAGTGTGTATGGGGGGCATCAGAAAATAGAAAGAAAGGCTCCCTTTGAATATCTTGACTTGACTATTTCTTATTAGCATCAGTTTAGAGGTGCGACGTCACGTCAACACCGTAGGAATTGAGCTGCTCCGTGGGGCGATATTGCCTACATCTGCACGAGTGTTACTCCCAGTTTATTATCGTCCTGTTCTACATAATTTATCATTACTGGAATATCGCTGGTATCCTCCTGTGTAAAAACTGAGAGGAAGTATGTGTTAAAAATTCTACACATTTCCTTATCACTGTCAGTGAGCTGACCCGAGGAACTTTTGAGTGGGCCTATCTTGTCCCTGATCTTACTTCTGTATACCTGAAAGAATCCTTTTGGGTTAGTCTTCGATTCTCTTGCAACTTTAACCTCATAATCTCGTTTTGCTTTTCTAATTCCCTTTTTTATTTCTCTCTTTAACTGAATATATCGATTTCTCAATTGCCCCTCTCCTCTTTTGATTTGCCTATATATGCCTCTCTTTTGACCAATCAGATATTTTAATCTATTGTTCATCCATTTAGGATCATTTTTGTTTGATCTGATTTCCCTATTTGGAACATAATTTGACTGAGCAGCTAGAACTATGCCCTGGAAAGCATCATATCGGCAACCATCACCACCTACCTGACCCTTAGTCAGGTCATTCCAGTTCAGCCCACCTAAGTAATTTTTCAGTCCTATGAAATCAGCCAAGCGAAAGTCAGGGACGGAGACTTGATTGCCATTATTAGGGGAATTCCATGATATATTAAAACTGAGTGATTTGTGATCACTTTCCCCAAGCTCATCATTAACCTCAAGATTATTAATTAGTGTTTCCCTACTGGCAAGAACCAAGTCAAGGAGGTTATTTCCCCTAGTTGGCTCTGTCACAAACTGTTTTAAAAAACAATCCTGGATCGTATCAAGAAAGTCACCTGACTCTAAATTTCCTGTCAAATTGCTCCAGTCAATCTGTCTATAGTTGAAATCTCCCATTAGCTTGAAAGCTGCACTACTCCTCTGACTCAAGCTTGACTTTCATCGACCTGTCCCCCGAGAGTTTATCGCTGCTCCCCCCCCCCCCCCATTCAAACAATTTGTTTTACATGCCTACACATTTACCCAGATAAAATTTCCCATAACTTGGGGAATGCTAAGCAATCAGGTTTGATCCAAGGAAGGGGAGGGTACTTGCAACTGCTTGTATCAAGATACCTTCACTAGTACACACACACACACCCCTTGAAGGGCATCCAAATTTAACATGAAGGTTATGATCATTATCCTAAGACATAATTTTCCCTACACTTCCACGCCTCTTATAGCACACTAGGCTAACAACCAACACTATGGGTTATCTAACTAGTTAGAGGCCTGCCGTATACCAGTTTCCTAACACATTATATGCTATCCTGAATTCATAACCTACCTTACTTGCCAGTTATGGCTGGCATCCTAGGTACAACCTGAGGACTACCACATTCAAGCCCCCACACTCTACCTCTATTTTTCTGGGTTTCTAACCCAGCAGGGTTAATAATCCTATTCTCACTAATACCAATCTAAATCACCCGCTCCCCTAACTATACTCATCAATATCAGACATTAGTGAATCCTTTCTGCCGACTAACACTTCACTTCAGATCACAGAGGTTTCCAGTATTTTCATCATTAACGTCTGCAGCCAGAAGCGTTAGACTTCACTACTTACAAACTATCAAACCAACTTTAATTCTGAACGCTAATACTTTTATATTCATACGAACCTGAACGCCGCTTAAATTTTCCAAAATGATGAAATTGTGTGAACTCAATGAATCAATATTTAACTCTGCACAGTTTGGCCAAAGGCATAAAATACGTAGAACACACACCACAACCACTACCCAAAGCCCGAAACCCACCAACATCCCCACAGAAACCACGTACAATAACAAATTCCACAGTGGAAATAAGTCAGTCTGACTTTTTTGGGTTATCCCAGGTTCTCTACACATATGCTGCTATGTATGATAATCTATGTGACTATTTGTGTATACCTGAATAAACTTACTTACTCAGCTTCTGAAGGTCGTTGGTGGGTTCCAAGGCCCACAGTTTTACGTAACTTACGCTTTCGGGGGAGATTACTCTCCCCTGCTATATGCATTCATAATTCATATAGCAGATTCTCCAGTTCTATACCTTACCTATCCTACTTAACACCACCAAATACACTAAGTTATTTTGATAGAAACTAAATAATTGTAGACCTACAAAGTGTTTTTATATATATATATATATATATATATATATATATATATATATATAATATATATATATATATATATATATATATATATATATATATATATAATATATATATATATATATATATATACACACACACACAACACACCACAACTATGCAGCATTCTCCAGGTATTGGCCTTACTAATTTGCAGAGCAGTGGCGGCGCAAGGGGGGAGGAAGGGAGGTAAAGGTAGGATTAAGGGGGTCTAGGTAAAAGCAATGGGGTCTAGGTAAAAATCAAGGGGGGTCTAGATAAAATCAAGGGGAGTTTAGGTAAGATCAAGGGGGTCTAGGTAAGATCATGGCTTAGCGCTTCTTTTTGATTATAATAATAATAATAGGTAAGATCAATTAGTCTACAAAGTCTCTAAATATATGCTGTATAATCAAATTTTAAAACAAATGCTCTTCTTCCCCCAAGACGCTCATAATTCAGACTCG